ACATGCACTCAAAAGACCAGTGACCCTTCTTGCCACAAGCAAAGCACTCTACCGGTTTCCCATGACAGTCCACGCCGGGGTGGCCACTTCCACACTTTTTTCAAACGGAGCGCCTTCCCTTAGCCTTGTCGTTCTGGGTTGGCTGGGGAGTCTTACCACTCTTAGAGCCGTCTCTTTGTAGAATTCTTGTTGATTCAGAACTGGTAACTGACAAACTCATAACCACAGGTGCAACACTTATTTCAAAACTCCTCTTAAGGCTCTCCCGGATTCCTTTCTGAACTTGCTGCACCCGGTAGAGGTCGGCTGCACAAAGGTAGGCCTCATTGAGGGTCTTGGGCTTCAACACATTCAAGGCTTTCCTAGCCTCGAAGTTGAGTTCGGCCACAAACTTCTCAACTTTACTCTCCTCGGTAGGTACCAAAACTGAGGCAAAACGGGCTAATTCCAAAAACTTCTTGTGGTACTCCATTACGGACAAGGGTACTTGCTTAATGTGGAGAAACTCCTCATACTTTTCCGCCTTGACATGAGCGGGATAGAACCGCTCACGTAGCTTATCCTTCAAGCTTTCGCAACTGAACTCCGGATCTGGTCTACAAGCTGGCCTTTCAAGCATCCACCACAAGTCCGCTTCTTGCCTAAGATAGAACGTAGCCAACTCTACTTGGCGATTCTCCGGGCAAACCACTGCTTCGAAGATCTTGTCGAACATCCGGATCCACTCTTCCAGCACCGCGTGATCTTCTTCACCGGCGAAGATCGGGGGACGGAGACTTGATACTTGGCGTACTACGTCCCGATTCCCATTCTGAGGAGGGTGGTCGTTGGTAAGGAGGGCGTTGCTCAGCGTCTGGGTGATCTGCGTCAGTTGATGAAGGCTTTGAGCTAGCTATTCGTTGGTGGCCGCTTCTGAAGACCTTGCATGTCGTCTCGATGGTGCCATCCTTGACTTCTACAGAAACAGCACGATAACGGGAGAAAACTTAGAAGCCCAAACCCTTACCCGGTGCCTTAACTTAAAAGAACCAAAGCTGGAAGAAGAACAAAGCACAGGAAGCATAACAGAAAACGATAAGAGAACTCACTACCTCACCGCGCGTACTAAGGTTCCTAAGACTTAGGTACTTAAACACTTAGGATTCGAGCTTAACTTCTTACGGTCTTACGCTTGAAAGCACTAACCTAGCTAGGTTCCAATTTAGGTTCTTAAAGTCCAACTCATAACATCCTAGGCTCAAACCTAGGCTCTGATACTAACTGTAACACTCCCGAATTTCAACAACTTTTAAAACCAATTAAAGCTTATGAAAGAGGTAAAGGCTAATCATTAAGAATAAGCAAAGCAGAAGCTAACTACACAAACTGGGAGATGTTATGTCACACCTACACAACATTAGGTGCACAAGTAAACACTAACTACTAAGCAGTCTAACAGATCAACTACTTAGGCTCATAGGCCTCAGCAACTATTATAGAAAGAGATCTAATCTATCTACAGGTCACTAGCGCTCTCTCCAAAGCTACTCAACCTGTAAAAGATAAGGGGATAACACACGGTCAGCGACTAATGCTAGTAATCCACCAATACGCGTTAAGTATCATAATATACATAGATATAATCAAAACCATTTGAAACTGCGAATACAGTATATATCATTTTAAAGCCGAGAGAGAGGAAATATCAATAGACTCATCAATCACTCACAATAAAGAACAAAGACCAACATACTCAATACGACAATAGAACCACAAGCAACAAGCTCAACAATAAGGTACAACGTACAACCACAATGAAGGATTCACAAAAGACATGATCTTAAGCAATGGAAGACAAGATTCACACCACAACGAGTTCTAAGTCCTCATAGGACACAATCACACCAAGTCATATATTGTGGAGTCAGCACCACGGCTCGATTCATAATGGATCAGTGTGGAGGGCTCCAAATCATAAATCATGTATCACGTAGTCATCGCAACGACCCGGATCACATGTTATAGTGTCATCGCAATGACAAGGACCGCAGCCCAATGGAAGCAGAGCTAGCAACTTTAAGTGTATACACCCCCTATTGAGATTCCAAGTTCAACGGGTTAGCTACCATCTCTGGCAACTGGAATGAGTTTCACATATTGCCCACAAGTCACAAGTAACCAAACGGAATCAGGAGCTTTAAACCCACTACCGAATCCGTTCACACATAAGTCCCCACACTGTCCACTTTACCAGCTCAATCATCTCATTACATCAATCCATCATCTCAACAAGAGTCAATACACACGGAATCTAGAAATACAACAACACATAGATTCCACACAAGGTGTGTACAACAAGGGATAAGCTCAACAATAGCTTAATCAAGGAATAATCATACACACAGGATCACATCAAGGGATCCAAGCAAGGGGTTTCAATGAAGGACATGAAACGATATACAACAACAACAATGGACCTCAATCCAATATCAACATGGTTGGCAACACGAGTTGCCAATCCTCAATAGAAAGGGACAAACAATACACACTAGCATCAATGACACCAAAACTAGCATGCATCTCAAACGGGTAAACCAAAATGGTTCCAATGAACCCTCAAGACTCATATTAGTCCAACAAATCACAAGGTTGGACCCTTAGCACGCTTCAATACACCAAATCCTAACATGGATTCCTAACACATCGTTCTAGACATACGAAACATCAAGAAGACTCACTAAAGCTCAATAATCCAACAACGGGAGGTCAAAATATCAAATACCAAAAGGAAAGAACCACGGGGAAACAATTCCCCGCATTACCACACATGTTCCCCGCGGGTGGGGCGGCGGGTAGGCCACTGCCCGTCGTTCCGCCCGCGGGGTACACCTTGTACACCAAAAATTCCCTTCGGGGAAATTCATCTCCAAGGTCAAGTTCAAGTCCAAAACCTCACACACAACAAAGATATGACTTGAACCCAAGAATAGCTCAAAGAAAGGCATCACCAGATCATGCATCAAATCTTACAAATACATCAAGAATCCTCAAATAGAAGCCAATAATCATTCATAGCAATAGAAAATAGGTTTTGTATAGCATGGTTACCTCTTGTAGACCAAGAACACCTTCTTCAACCTCAAAGCAAGACCAAAGCTCCTCTAGATCAACCTAGCACTTCACCCACCACTAGATCTTCTACAAACTCCCAAAACCCACAAGGTAGAAGAAAGATTTAGAGAAAAGATGGAGGAATCTTGTAAGGAAAAGGTAGGGAAGGATAAATCTACAATTGCTAGCCTTGTAGTGTTGGAAAGTTGGAATCTTGGCTTGGGATTTCTTGAAGAACTTGTGAAGATGAACTCTAGGATTTCCTAGAGAGAAGGAGGAGTAGGGGGCAAGAAAGAGATGTAGAGAGAAGGGAAATCCTGAAAATGATTTGGATTCCTTGGTTAGGGTAGGTTTTAATGCTAGCATTGTGTGAAATGACCAAAAGGGCCCCTTCCTCCCAAAACTAGTTAGGAGAAAGACAAAGTCTTGGATACAAGGGCTAAAGCCCAATGTACAACTCATTGACCAAATTAAAAGGATAAGGAATTTGGTCAACTAGGTCTTTCACTAATTTCAAAGGGAAATTAGGATAAGAATTGTAAAGCCACAAGGAATTAATTAAGGAATTAATTCGGGTTTTAGGAAATGAATTTCCGGGGTATTACATATTTTAAAAAAAATATTGGGCATTATTTCAATCGGGCAATGCGCATAAAAAACTAGTATATACATAATTAGGGTTACTTGACCTATACTTAGCTAGCTCTAGGTATGACGGCACCGTCTTTCATGAAGTCTCCCTGGACAAGCTTTGAATGGTCTCTGAGCACGCGATATCCCAGTCTATACTGGATGCGATATGATCCACCATCCCATTACATGCTGTTCCTATAGATCAGATCAGATATGCTTAACTTCAACTGTACTTCCCGAAACTTTTCCAGCTCACTGCGGCAGGTCAGGTTTCAACCAAGTTCAGAAAGTCATATCTGATCTGATCTAGGGAGCTGAGTGAGGTTCAGCTTGTGCCCTCTTAGCCATGCAACTACTCTCTCTCTCTCAGATCAGAATCCAATCTGACTCTAACTAATAACTTTTCTATATCCCTTGCTAGCTTCGTCTCTAACTAATAAAGTATTCTTCAAGCTTCTCATCTGCAACAGTACAGTACACTAGTACAGTACAGGCTCCCAGGTTAGCCTACCTGCCACTCTCCATTACTTTTGACCACCACACCCCGCTGCTTCATCCCTCGCTCTCATCTTCACCTCCCATCCACATTCATCTAAACCCAACCACTTTTGCTAAAAATACATACATACTCTGTATAATACAAACAAATTAAAGAATATGATACATATTGTATCCTAACATACTTACTTTCATATATGGTTTCATTGGTTCATTTGGTTGAGGTCGGTGAGAAATTAAAAACACATTTTCCTATTTTTATTCTTTATTATGTATCAAAATAATTTAATTTTGAATTGAACACTCTTCAATCCTTGCTAAGTCCTTATTGCATATATATATATATATATATTTGCATATATCATTAACTTATATCAAATACAGAGTAATAAGTCTGAAAATGAATGACTAAGTATGCATGATTCTTATACTTAGATGACTATGAGTCTATAATTTATGTGACATACATTTCTGATAGTTAATATAAAAATAAAATAAAATAAACAAAATAAAATTGTGCCCAATGTATTAATTTACTGTCTAAGAAATCTCACTTAAAAACTTCTAGTTCAATTTGAACATTGGGAGTTCATGAGAACCATACTAGATATAGTCTGGCAAAATTGGAGAAACATACATGGGTTATCAAAGAAAAAAGATGAACAAAATTTATCAAATTTGATCTCCACCCGTCATTATTTGACAGGAATATATATGTTTGTATAAGTATATAAGGTATGTCAAATATGCATGTATGCATAATTATATTGTTTTTGCATTTAGTAAAACTCCACTGGAATGTCTGGGTAACTTTCTTTAGACAAATCTTGTGGATTCAATGGCGGGGGAATGAAGGGTGGCGACTTACGTCTCAACAGCGCCCAATTCACGCTTTGGAAGAAACCGTGGTTTTTCACCGCCGTGGCTCCCATCGTAGACCCCAACCGACTCGCCGGATCTTTGATCAGCAACTTCGATATCAGATCTTTCGCGGCGGCGGGCACGGCGGGCTCCTTCGGGAACTCCAGGGCCCGGATCACAATATTCGTCCAAGTATGATCGTGATCCACTCCTTTAAACGGCGTCACGCCGTAGAACAGCTCAAAAATGAATATCCCCAGCGTCCACCAATCCACCGCGTTGCCGTGGCCTTCGCCGGAGACCACCTCCGGCGCCAGGTACTCGTGGGTCCCCACGAACGACATGGACCGGACGTCGACCGGCTCGGCCACCATTCTGGGCGCCGCGCGGTGGCTGCCGCTGTGCGGCCGCCGGTTCTTCTTGCGCTTGCAGTAGAGGCGGAAGCAGGAAACCGCCGGAGCCATGCAGTTGGGGAGTTTGGGTGGGTTGTTGCAGAAGTCGCTCTGCGGCGACGCGTCCGGCGGGATCTCGCCGGTGACTACGGTGGCGGTTGTTGAGGTGCACTCGTCGCATTTCAGCGAGAGGTCGAAGTCCGTCAGCATTATGTGGCCGTCCGATCGGACCAACACGTTTTCCGGCTTCAGATCACGGTAGACAATTCCCAGCATGTGAATATACTCCAGAGCTGCAACCACTTCTGATGCATAGAACCTGCACACACCATAACATACATGGAAATGTCATATCATATTTTCTAATTTAACAATGGTACAAGTAGAGGTGTAAACGAGTCGGGTCGAACTCAAACTTAGGTAGACAGGATTGAGTTCGGGCTCGATCTAATTTGAATTGAATTTAACTTTTTAATTAACCAACTTGGTTGACACGTAATCAAGTTGACTGTTACTTCACTTACATATATAAAAAATTAATTAGGTTTTAATCCCCATACGAGTGCAATTTTCAACTTGACTGTTACCTCACTTAGGCATGTCGAAAATGGTGAATTTAACAATTACATTTTGATATACATAGCACTTTATAATTATTTATTGAAATGTGATCTAAAGATCATACCATTGACTATTTTAAGGATAAAAATAAAGTGCATAGCTCTCCATACCTATTAGCGAATGAGCAAAAAAGGAATCATATCTCCTAAACAATTACTACTTTTTAATTGCCATCCAAAATTGTATACTATTTAATTCCCTAATTGGGCAATTAAAATCAAATTAGAAAAAGGGGTAAGAATCAAATGTAAAATTTAATTAGTAATTTTGGTCAAATAAGATTTTTTGATAAATTTAAAGTTTACTATAACTGGTTATTGGAGAATGCATACCGGACGGCGAGCTCGTTGAAGCGCCTGGCGTGCTGGCGTTGACGGAGGACGTGGAGGTCGCCGCCGGGGCAGTATTCCATTAACAGGCACGACCAGTTAGGGGAATCAATGGTGGCGTAGAGGGTGGGAACGAAGGGGTGGTCCAAAATTTCCAGAATTTCCCGTTCTGTCCTTAACCGCCCTTCCTTGCTCCGGCACTCAATCTCCTTCCTGTCGATTATCTTCGCGGCGAATAGCGCCGACGACACCGACGGTTCCGGCTTTTTCAGTTTGACGAGATAGACGGCGCCCATGTCGCCGGCGCCGAGGCGTTTGAGGACGCAGAGGTCGGAGAGGGAAAGGGAGGAGGAGAGTGCCCTAATTGCTATCCAGCAGGGGTCCCTGGCTGGATTGTCGGTGGAATTGGGAGAGAGTAAATGGGAGGCGAAGGAGTCGGAGGAGGTGGCTTCGGAGGCGTTGCTGGTGGTGCAGTTGAGGGTGGAGGCGGAGCTGGTGGTGCGGTTGATGTCGGCGGTGGAGGAGAAGCTTATTACACTTTGGACGTCGTCGGCGGCTTCGGCTTTGTCGTCGACGGACGGTTCCATGTGGACTGGCTTTCCCGAGCTAGAGACACCGATGAAAAAGATCAGAGCTATTTATAGAATCCGGCTACTCGGCTAGTCAATGAATTTTCCAAAGAGTTAATTCGAGATTATCAATTTTTATTCTAGATTTTTTTTGAATGCTACAGACTCTATTACATTGTAGGATTTGTTCAGACATATTTTCTCAACCTAATAAAACACAAAGAGTCAACAACACTTCCACCAAGGTTCGATCATAACCTCTCACATGAGAGATGTCACTACATGCCATCTGAGCACAAGGTGCTTGGACAACTCCATTTTATTCTGGATTTTTAATTAAATCATATGTTATCTATTGACTATTGATATTTATCATTTTTCATTGTGAACTTTCAATCTGATAATAAATAATTAAATAGTATCTTGACGGTTAATTTTGTTCTAAATTTGGTGATCTAGTTAAATATTAAACATTAGATTTATTTAATGGTAATAATGTAAAAAAAATCGCTCGTCTTTGAAAATTAATTAATAAATTTTAATAGTTAAAAAATCATTTACAATCTAATTGAAAATTGAAAATAAAAATTAATAAATATCAATAATAAATGATCATTCATGAAATTAACTCATTTTTTAATTATTAGGCTGCTGGTGAAATTGCACATAAGCAAATCTCTTACACCAAAAGGCTGAATCCTCAATCTTAAGGGTCCCCACACTCCGACCCGAAAGAACATGTGGGAGGATGTAAATCACGGTGACTCAATGGGTTAGTAGGCAGGGCCAAATGCCGGTGCGCAGGAATCTGCCCACTTTGGACATAATTCCCACACTGCCACCGCCGAGGTTCGAACCTTGGTCTCTTACCCCAAATACTGCCCACATAAGCAAATCTCAATCTTACATCTAGAAAAATTAGTTGGACCATATCTGATTTTTTTTTTTTTTAAATGTGTGGTGGTATTTTTATAATTATTATCAACTTTACTATGCAAACTTAAACACTAAAATCTAAATTTTAAGAACCTCAAGTTTCCACATTTAGTACTAACATATTGCACATTTAATGGATGCGACAGTAGTTGTGGCCATTATAAACAAAAGAGATCAAAGTGAAGATACGGTGGTGGCGTTAGTAAAAGATTGTGTTGACCTCATCAATCGTTTTCATAATTTTAAGATTTCTCACATTGAACGAGAGAGGAACTAATGTGTTGACTGGCTTGCAAATTTCGGCCAGAATATAGATTGGGAAACGCTCATCTTGGATTCGATGCCAATAGGCCTTTCTAGCCTCCTTGAAGCTGATGCTCGAAGATCTCCAACTGAGAGAAGAAGATAGTGCCCAGTGAGGGCTTCAAATGTACCCCAAAAAAAAATTGCACTTACAAAAATGGGAAAGTACACTGCACTTATAATTTCAATTTTAGAGTTTATGATTACGTTTTTTTTGTTTTATTTAGTTTAGTGGTTCACTTTTTACTACTCACCATCTAGCATTAACGGTGTAGATTTAAAATTTAGATTTTTCATTGATTTTATAAAATTTACCAAATTTGCATATTTAGTTGTTAAAGATTACATATTTAACTAATTTAAGTGTTCAAGTTTGCATAGTGAAGTTGATGATGATTACAAAAATGCTACCGCGATTTTTAAATCTGATCAGAACCATCAAATATTTACAGATGTAAGGCTGAGATTTATTCTTAGTTTTCTACTGGGAGTGTGTTCTCATGGGATCCAAAGCCTCTATATGTGCGTGTGTGTGTGTGAGTGTGTGTGTGTGTGTGTGTGTGTGTGTGTGTGTGAGAGAGAGAGAGAGAGAGAGAGAGAGAGAAAATAGGTGAGAACGTGCACACAAGCATGAGTGCACACAATATATTCCAACTTCCAAGCATGCTTGAATGACGGTGAAGACCGTGGAGTAGATTGTATGCACTCATGCTTGTTCGCACGTTCTTATCTAAAAAAGTGCTCTCATTGAACACACACACACACACACACACACACACACACACACACACACACACACACACACACACACACATATATATATATATATATATATATATATATATATATAGATTTTGGATCCGGTGAGGTTACCTTTGTCAGGCGAGGTGGTGAGGTTTGATCTGGTGCGTTTATTTGGGTTTTTGGATGGATTAGATTTGGTTGAATATAATGCCTTGTGCGTGTGATTTATTTGCATGTGGGGGTATTGTTGTCTTTTTGGTAGTGTCTTAATTAGGGTGTAATAATTAATTAGCAGATTTTATGGGCTTGTGCACTACTTCATTATGGTATTGTATCGGGTGTGTGCAATTTGTTTTCCCGTGTGTGCATTTGGCTTCAATTCTTTGTTATGCTGTGTGTGCAATTTGTTTTTCCGTGTGTGCGTTTGGCTTAAATTCTTGTTATGACGGGTATGATCAATCAGCGGTATGGTTGTGGTTTTTGTTGCATGTTGATTCCGTTATTCAATTTAAAAATTAATGAACATAAGTTTGTGTTCTGTTATGAAGTTTTTCTGTGTGCATTTTATGTGTTCGGCTTGTGCGTTGGGTCACAAATAGGTTGACAAATTTTCAGGCCAAATATCTCTTATTTGGACTGTCAACTAGAATTGAGGCAAACTTTTACCATATTTTTATAGCTTGGTTTTTGCTTTTTTACGTAAAACAATTTTGGTATGTGTATTTTAATTGTAACATGTTATGATCTATTAATTGTTGGTGTGTTGTTATTTTATATATTTATTTGGTGCTTTTTGTTGTTATGGTCTGTGCGATTGGGGTTTACAAGGGGTGTGTTTTTTTTTTTGGTTTAAAATTTACACTGGATTCTAGTAGGTCTGACGTTTGTTCGGTTTAGTTTTTGGGCTTGTGCGTTGGGTTCTTAACTCAACGCACCGACTTAACTAAATGGCTGCACATATAGAACATAACCCATAACACACTTCTATTAAGGTTGCACATACCTCTTTCCGGTTGCACCTTCATTGTTGAGGAGATATCTCACTACAAAACACTATTGCTGAGTACAAATGTTTAAATACAACTCACACTCTATCAACAATAATTTATAATCGTAAATATATTATTCAACACCATAATTAGTTGATCCTTAGCATGGAATATATTCCAATCTATTCCTAACCATATATAGCACTAATATTACAATTACTTATACACCCTTATGCATAGACTACTACCATAGATGGAAAATAAATCTCTTTCAATCTCACCCTTTGATATGTTATGATTTAATGGATGAGATGAGACCCCATTATCTCACCCATCTAAGTGACCTCATGGGATCCGAAGCCTATATATATATATATATATATATATATATATATATATATATGTGTGTGTGTGTGTGTGTGTGTGTGTGTGTGTGTGTGTGTGTGTGTGTGTGTGTGTGTGTGTGTGTGTGTGTGTGTGTGTGAACGTGCACACAAGCATGAGTGCACACAATATATTTCGACTTCCAAGCATGCTTGAATGACGGTGGAGACCGTGGAGTAGATTGTGTGCACTCATGCTTGTTCGCACGTTCTTATCTAAAAAAGTGCTCTCATTGAACACAAGCATATATATATATATATATATATATATATATATATATAGGGAAGGCTTCAGGTGCGGTAAAAGCTTCCCGTGCGGTTGTGCAGTTGATGGCTCAAATCAATGAAATTTTTTTTTTTTTTTTAAACGCGTGTCTGGAAGAAAGGAGCTAAAAATGACTCACATTAACTGATAGAAACACGCACCTTAAGTATTAGAACAACGCACCCTAAGTGTTATAAAAATGCATCTTAAGCGTTTAAATGACGCACATTAAGTTTTGTTCTTGAGGGTCTGAACCACCCCTCAGTTCAAAAGTTTTGTTCTTCTTGAGGGTCTGAACTACCCGTTACTCACTGAGAATGGTGCGCGAAAAAGAAACATGACCCACCTTAAGTATTAGAACAACGCACCTTAAGTGTTAAATGACGCACATTAAGTTTTGTTCAAAAGTTTTGTTCTTGAGGGTTTGAACCGCTCCTCAATTCAAAAGTTTTGTTCTTCTTGAGGGTCTGAGCCACCCTTAGTTCAAAAGTTTTGTTCTTTTTGAGGGTCTGAACTACCCGTGACTCACAGAGAATGGTGCGCGAAGAAGAAGAAACATGACGCACCTTAAGCACAAACCCACGCACCATAAGCACAAAACCTACGCACCTTAAGCACAAAACTCACGCACCTTAAGTTTCAACAAATATTCACATTAAGCACAAACACACGCAACTTAAGCACAAAATCCACGCTACTTAAGCACAAAACTCACGCACCTTAAGCACAAAACTCACGCACCTTAAATTTGACTTAGTTGCAAAAATTACCAACTTGCCACCGTATTTTTTTTTTTTAATTTGGTAATCCTGGATGTTGATTTAAATAGAATCAATGGCTCTCCTCTCTCCGTACAACCGCACATGGGGCTGCCACCCGCACCAAAACCTAATTATATATATATATATATATATATATATATATATATATATATATATATATATATATATATATATATATATATATAAATTGTTATACCACGAACTATGCATGGTCCACCTTGTATTATATACCTGATATAAAACGACATTCAGATTATGTACATACAGTTAATATATTATGTACATTCAATTAATAAATTATGTACATATTACAACTAACATATTATGTACATTCTGATAATAATTATGTATCTATTACAATTAATGTATTATGTACACGTAATTTATTTACATCTACATAATCTGTTAATTAAATATACATATATAATAGGTTAACTGAAACAACATAATCTTAATGTCTTTTTGGAATAAGGTCCAACACACCAAATGAGGTAATATCTCAGTGGAAAATTTTCTATTTTACTAAACATATCCTAAAAATGAACCAAACGTCAAACAAACATAATATACTTAGGGTGGGTTTGATTCATGGGTTTACACACTAGGAATAAGAATCAAAATCAAAATTAAAATTAGTGTTTGGTTCACAACTTTTTAAAATACAATTATGATTTTTT